CAGCCTTGCCCAGCAAACAAAGATGCTTACATGCTCTCTCATCGCAAACAACCTTTCAATGGCAGCTGGTCCTGAGATTAGGTCCCCCTCTCCCTGCTCTGGTCCCAGGGTAAATCCTGAGACAGGAGGTGGGGTTGGGGGAGAGTCTTTCCTTCCCTGCACACAGGCTCTTTGTAAATGGAAAGAATCCACAAAGTGTTACCCTGGATCCCCGGAGAATCAGGAGGGGAGGTGTGTGTTTGCACCCAGCCTTGCATACAATACAAGCCAATTCAGAGAACGGGTGACCGTGCCCAGCCATGTGGATTCTTTCCAGAAATTGCTGTCGGTTCCTTTCAGAGACTTAGTTACTCAGCTAAGTCTGAAGCATCTTTTGATGTCTGGAGAGAGCTGGGGAAGCAATCCCTGATAGCCACAGCATTGACAGACAGCTCCACCCCTGACAGTGAGTCCAAGAGTGACTCTGTGTATCTATGTGGCTGCCCTGAACCCCTCTTAACTGCTCAGCTGAGACTCACAGAGATCTCCATAGTCAATAGCGACCAGATACCTAGGCAACAACCACCCCCACCCCCTCCACCTCCCCAACCCCCCACCCCCACCAAGACATCCAGCATTTTTGATGTTGTTATCTCATAGTGTCTCATTCTTCATCTAGGCAAAACCCAGAGGACAGGGAAAAGTCTCCAGCTGAATTTGGATACAATCTGGCTGTTTTATTAGTATTACCTGTGTGAAGTTCCCAGAAACAAACACACACACACACACACACACACACACACACACACACACACACACACACACACACACGGGGTGGGGGGAGGGGGAGAGAGAGAGAATGAGTACCTAACAAGGCCAAGTAACTAAAATTTAAGATTATGGAGATCTAAAATATTTCAGGCCAGAACTAAATTATCTAGGGCTATTTTTAGTTCTTTTGAGGGCCATTCATTGCCCACAGCTCCGTCTGACCCAGCATTCTAGGCACTACCAAATCTTACCATGTATTCTTAGCTGATCCCTAGATTCTACCAACCAAAAAGCTCCAGTTATGATAGCCAGCACCTGGAGCTGTACCACACCTGTGGCCCCCACCAATGCATTCTGTAACACTCTGATTTATGACAACATTTTTGTTCTGTAAGTGATAAAACATCATCCTGTCGCCACTTCCATGGTGGAGGCGGTATTTGGGGGGAAGCTTGAATTGTGTTCCTGGGTCTGGTCATGCATATCAGGCTCCAGAGGGAACTGCCTAACACCTGTGGGTCAACATCTGAGGGCCAGGTGTGGTGGCGCATGCCTTTTATCCTAGCACTTGAGAGGCAGACGTCAGCCTGGCCTACATAGCAAGTTCTAGGACAGTCAGCGTTTCACAGAGAGACCATGTCTTGATGAATGGACAATTGAATGAATGAATATGGAAATCATCATTTGAGTCTTCTATGAGCCCCTGGTACAACCAAACCAGCAACAATGCTGTGCTCAGCACGTCAGAGCAAAGCCTATCAAACATCTTTGTGATTCGAATTCTCACAGGAGTTTTCTTCGATCCTCCCTGTGCCCAGGTGGAGGTGGATAGCTTTTCCCTATGCCTTTTCTTCATGACAGGGCTGTTTCCTGTTCCCTTACACAGAGAGTAGCTTTAATGGCTTACCTTTGTATGGATGTTTCCTATTCTATGAGGTATCTTGGACTGTACCAAGTCTGTGCTACCATGATAAAACACCTTAGCCTGGCCGGGCATTGGTGGCGCATACCTTTAATCCCAGCACTCGGGAGGCAGAGGCAGGCGGATCTCTGTAAGTTCGAGACCAGCCTGGACTACCAAACGAGTTCCAGGACAGCCTCCAAAGCCACAGAGAAACCCTGTCTCGACAAAACAAAACAAAACAAAACACCTTAGCCTGGGCTATGTGTACACACACACACATACACACACCATAAATTTATCACTCAGTTCCTAGGTTCAAGAGAGTCTGAGGTCAAGGCACTTACAAATGTAGTGATTGGTAATGGTTTCTCTTATGAGGATGCTAATCTCAGGGCTGAAGTGGTGGGGTGCTTGCCTAGCATATATAGTGTCCTGTGGTCAATTCCCAGCACTGGGGGGAGAGGAGGCACTAATTCCATTTGTGTGGCTTCATTACCTAATCACCTCCTAAAGTCTCCACACATTAATTCTACCATATTATAATTAAGTTCTGGCACATGAATTTTGAAAGGACACCAATATTCACACAATGGCAAGCATATTTTATTTGTTCATGGTGTAGATGGCTTGTTGTAGTAATATGAAGTTGTATAGCTCACCTATACAAATGAAACTTTGAAAAATTAGAGTGTACATCATGCAAATGCTTTGTAGAGCAAGCAGTCTGTCACTTTCTCTTAAGAACAAAGATGCCCTGCTGTTGCTCCTCAGCATCTGTGGAGGAGTTGGTCCAGGACTCTCTCTGAACACCAGCATCTGGAGATGTTTGCATGCCTTACATAGAACAGTGTAAGATTTACACATAACCTATGCATACCATCCCCTACTCGTTAATCATCTCCAGGTTACCCATAATTCTTTATTCAATATAAGTTTTTGTAAATAGTAACTACGTGAATAATTATTGTACAGTATTGTTTAGGGAATAATGGCAAGAAAAAAAAAAGACATACACCAACAAACTCCACACGGACGCAGTTGTTTTTGGAGTATTTTCTATGTGCAGTTGGCTGGATGTGAGGTTGTGACACAGAAGACAGAATACATGTCAGGGTCCAGTAAGTCCTTATACATAAGAAGTCACTGCAAGGGCTTATGCAAAATGGTTTGTAACACCAAAGCAGCAGCAACCTAACCCTCCTTGGAGAGCAGCAGGGGTGGGGTTGGGGGGTGGGAGAGTAAGCTGGCTTATTCACTTGGTGCATCAGTTAGAATGAAGGTTTTAAGTCTGGGAAGATTTCAACAATGTCTGGGTAACATGACACCAAGAGGAAGAAGCATCTCAGAAACAGCAGAAATAGCAGTAGATGCCAGATACGTGCACAATCCAGTAAAGAAACGGGACACTGAGATGGCACAGTTGCCACCTTTGCATGCAGGTGGGGGATGGGCAGCCTGGGCTCGTGCTTTTGTTATATCTGTTCTTGTTTATTATTTTGAGTCTGAAAGTGGTACCTAGAACCTTGTGCATGAGAGTTCCTATTCAGCTACAGTCAGCTCCCATGTTTTAAATGGAAGAGAGCATGGCACTGATATTGTAAAATGGTAATATTTTTATTTTGGTTGGTGAGATATAGTTAGATATAGTATATAAATATGTTATGTTACTTTTAGAGTATCTGAAATGTTTCATAAATCAAAAATATAACTTCTATATTTTTTTAAAAATTAAAAACGGTAAAGAAATGTATCAAAGCAGTCATTGTTACATGTGGCTGCAAGGAAGGAGTGCGTGCCTTCTCTCTTCTTTGATTTTCTACATTTTATGACTGTCACTTTTACAATGAAAAAAGATTTCTTTTAAAAGTAGTTATATGAAAAGCAAACACACTACCATGACAGAGTTTCTGTGGGTTTGTATTGGCTCCTGGCAAATAGTGAGCCCTTTGAGAGGTACGATTAATAAAACCTTCAGGGCAGAGTGCTAGTGGGCTGTATGCCAGACTCAAGTCACACAGTGGGCACAGTGTTACCTACACTGACACCAGAATTTCCTTGAGACCCAATTGATAGATTCTTTCTGAATGCATCATTTATGCCAAATGGAAAAAAGTTCATATTGGCCAGCTAGCTCCAAGCTAGAAAGGAACAAACCAACTCTTATTCAGATTTTACTATTGCCCATTTTAAGCCAGCATCCTTGTAGTAACCATGTTAATGCAACACAGATTTTGCTGCATTAGGTCCTGGGCCTACACAAAGGTGCATCTAATTGTCTGTTACCTGCTGAGGTCATTGGAGGCCCTGAGATATGCATAAGGGTCCTCAAAGCTTCAGAAAACCAGCATCTTTTGGAGATTTCCAAGAAGGATGAGGATCCTTTTAGAGTCTCCCATCATCTCTAGCTGCTGCTTCTGGAATTCTTTCCCAAATTACCCCATAGGTAGGGGTGCAAGAAATGATGTCCCAGCATCCCCAAACCCCTAACAGTAGACATTATTTAGTCATTATATTTAGGGTCCTGTTACAAATCCCTCTGTTCTGCTTGTGTCTGGAACCCCTCAGCAGCTCTTTAATGGCCTGCTATCTGCCTTATGACTCTCAATGGTTTCAGTGACTTTTGAACAGCCACCATCTGAAATATTAAGTGGAAAATTCAGAAATGAGCAATCTAGGAGCTTTGAACAACTTTTCAGTACAATCTATTTTTACAGCTGTTCTATTTACTGTTGTTATGTATTTTACCTCTTACTGTGCCTGTTTATAAGTCAAACTTTATCATACTCTAGGAGTTCAAGGTCAGCCTGGTCTACAGAGCTAGTTACAGGAGAGCCAGAGCTATTACATAGTGAAATGTTCTCTGTCTCTGTCTCTGTCTCTGTCTCTGTCTCTGTCTCTGTCTCTGTCTATCTCTCTGCCTCTCTCTGTCTCTCTATCTCTCTCTCAAAACAAAAGAAAGAAAAGAATAATAAAAGGAAAGCAGCTGGGAATATTCCAAGTATTCTGTTGGGGAGATGGCTCAGTCAGTACAGCAGTTGCCATGCAAGCATAAAGCCATGAGTCTGATCCCCCAGAACCCTTGTAAGGAGCTGGGCACAGAGGTATGTGCTTAGAAGCCCAGTGCTGCAAAGGTGAAGATCAGAGGGTCTGCAGTCTAGTTGAATAGCTGAGTTCTCGGTTCAGTGAGAGACTCTGTCTCATCAAATGAGGTGGAGAATGCTTGTGTAAGACACCCAGAAGTGACCACTGACCTCCACATACATTTGTGCATATTCTTGCACAGTTGTACACACACACACACACAGAGAGAGAGAGAGAGAGAGAGAGAGAGAGAAATCAAACTTACAATGTCTGAGGAGTTTCTGGCAGGACTTGGTCATCGTTCATCCCTTGACTCCACTGCATCCTTGATTCTTAAACACAGAATATGAATTTGGCATTGTGCATGGCCCTTCTGCCATTCAGCTCCACAGATCACTGCCCCAACAGTCTCAGCTCAGATTAGAGTCTATTGTAGTCATGGAGATCAGTGTTTGTGTTATACATGCAAAGATTTGTCCTTATCCAAACATAGTGGTTTAACTGTGGACAAAAGACAGTGTTTTCCGACAGGCATTCCTCAGCATATGAATATCAAATTAGTACCTCTTTAGATTGGACACAAATGTTTGGTTTTAAAAATTGCTATTTGAGTTGTTGACCTGAGTTTCACAAAATAATTGTGAAATAAATTGTGGCTTAGGATTAGGGCAGAATTTCCGATAATTTCTGAAAATGACTAAACATGGTGTTGTTCTCTTGCAGTATATATTTATTCAAAGCACTGTTCTCAGCAATGGTGATTATTAAATAAATATATGGAGCAACTCTGAAAACCATTGATGGTGTTTTGCATCCTGTAATATCAAGCTTGCATCTGAGAATTAATTATTTAAGTAAACTCAAACAACACACTCATCTCATTAGAACACACATTTGCTTTGTTCATTTAGCACAGCATATATGTGCACATGGGTGTTCCATTTTCTGGAGCATAGCTAGCCTCTCAGGGCTGTATCCCCGAAGATAACTGACTCTCCCTCCCCTAGAATTTTATCAGTTGCCAATAATGTTTCATATGGGGGTGGGACTTCATGAACCCCTGCCTCTTCCATGCTGGAATTTTGGTTGTCTTGATCTTGTGCAGGTCTGTGCATATAGTCACAGCTGCTATGATCTCATGTTAGCAGGGTCCCTGTCATGTCTGGCAAACATTCTTTCAGTGCAGATATTCACTGCCTCTGGATTTTATAATCTGTCTACCCTCTCTTCTGAAATGATCCCCAAGCCTTGAGGGGAAAGGTCATAACAGAGATGTCCGAGTTACAGCTGCATATGCCACAGTCTCAGTCTCACAGGTTGATCAGTAGGAGGGGGTGTCTCTGAATTAGTTGCCATCAACTGCAAAAAGAATCTTGTCTGATGAGGGCTGAGAGATGTACTAGTATATGGGCTTAAAGATTAAAACTTGAGAGGCAGTTTATTACTATACCTATTTAGCAGTGTTAGGTTTTCCACTCGAGTCTATGACTGATCCAGCCACGGACTTTTTGATTCAGCTAACAGTACCAGACATGAATTTCTGTAATCCTTTGGATCATGCCTGTAATCCAATCACAAAATGATTGGTAACTCATAACATTCATGCCACTATTACACACGCGGATATATCTTGCCAGGCCAGTCATTATTATAGCTTACAGGGTTCTCAACTCAGTAAAACTGTTGATGACTTTTCTACTCTGGTAGAATGCACAGAACCTGACAACCCTAAGAAAGTTGGCCAGTCCCACCTTCATTTCTCATGTCCCATGATTCAAGTATGTAGTATGCTTAGCAATAGGTCTCACCATATACAGTTATACAGGCAACCAAGAACAGTGGCAGCAGCCACTGTTTGGGGAGGGTCTATGTGACCTTCCCAACCAAAAAGTCAAAAGAAAGCAGCCCATACTTGGCACTGGGCTTTCTATAGTATATGGTATGTGGGGCGTAATTTTCCCACCTGCTATACGGTAACTCTACTTAAACTCCATTCATATATGTTTATGTATATATTTTAGGAAGTTTCTACAGTAGTACATTCAATATGCTATTATCAAAGGTCTATATTGTTAGTTATCTCACCCTATACTGCCCCTCCACCCCCATCCTATTTAACCCTTCCTATTCCACTGTTGTCCCTGCATTCTATACCCCTTGAAATTAATCATTTCTATCCCACCTGGGAATAAACTGAGGGAATATAGGGCTATAGGTCTATCCATAGTGAAAAGCTACATTGTCTTTTCTGGGTATTAACTGGTCATAGTGCATAATTTCTTTCCCACCTCCTTGAGTTTTCCTTTTCTCTCTCCATATTTTGCTTATCTTTGATAAAATTTCTATACTGACCACAGGTAAGATACAATGTATAAAGCCACCTAAATCAGTATTTCTTAAAACCTGGTCAGTAGGCATCAGGTAATACTGCATCACTTTCGTAGGCTGAGAGGAAATGAACAGATATCACAGTTTAAGGATGAAGAAAGCCACACAATACATACAATTACATGAGTTAGAGGGCAGACAGAGATTTGAGTCTGACAGTGTCTGCTGCCATGGTACTTTTTTGTGTCAGGAGTAGCCACTGGCTTTTGGCAAAATGAGGCCATTTGTTACATTAATTTTGACAATTTCACTTTCATTAGTTTTGTCTTTTTTTTTTTAAAGACAGGATTTCCCTGTGTAGCTTTGGAACCTATCCTGAAACTAGCTCTTGTAGATCAGGCTGTTCTCGAACTCACAGAGGCCTGCCTCTGCTGGGATCAAAGGCATGTGCTACCACTGCCTGGCTAGTTTTGTCATTTTATACTTAATAAATAGTAGAAATAAATTTTAGATGTATAACTATAAAATAGCTAGATGTAATATAATAAAAAATTTAAAATCCACAGATTTGTGGATTCTTTTTGCCATTTATCTAGAAGGCATTAAACTCCAGTTTGATGGGCAGTGATTACAGTGGATTCCATTGGTGCTGACCTGACATCCATTGTATCCATGTAGGTCTGTCTGGATACTATAACAAAACACCTAGGGCTGGGAAACTGAGGAACAGAAGAAACTTGTGGCTCATGGAGCCCTCAAATATGAAATTCAGTTCCAGCAGATGTGGGTGTGATGAGAGCTGCTGTCGCTCACAAATGGCACCATCCTACTGTGTCCTCACAGTGACAAACGGCCTTTCTTCTTGAAAGAAGCAATAACCGTGTTCAAGGGTCCCACCTCTTACCACTACTGTAGCAGGTCGTGGTTTTCCAGTGTATGGATTTCAGGGAGATATAAACATCCAGTCCACGAAGTTCACCTTTTCTGCTTCTTTCTTTCTTTCTGTTTGTTTGTTTGTTCTGTTTTTGTTTTTTACTTTTTTGAGAAAGGGCCTCTCTTTCTCTGTGCAGCCCTGGCTGTCCTGGAACTCACTCTGTAGACCAGGCTGGCCTTGAACTCACAGAGATCCACCTGCCTCTGCCTCCTGAGTGCTTGGATTAAAGCTGTGTGCCACCACCATCCAGTTCTTTTCTATTTCTTAATGAACTAATAACTTTATTTAGCTATTCCATACTCCCTGCAGTTACTTGCTTAAAGGAGACTGCCACCTCCATGCCCCAAGGTTCTGACAATTCGAAGACAGTCATGGCAGCCCATGTTCTTCGCTAGTAATTGGTTTAAAATGAATCCATGATGGATTTTGTCCGTAAGCCCCAAGGAACAGGCTGGAGTCTGTTTTCGGAACTATTTTCCACTGTTAGTGAGATGCACTCCCTTGCTGTTAAGAAATGTTAAGAAATGGGGGTGTCTGGATAGCTGCAGCTATCTCACAAGCACGGGGATGGAGCTAGAATGTAGAAGGCAGAGGTGCAGGAAGATGAAATGAGTCCTGGATGGTCCTCTGGAATTCCTGAGCCCTGAAAACAGTGAGAATTGGAGCACCTCTGGCCCGACTTCTCTTTTCAGGAGAGGGAGGGGTCTCTCTGCTCTTTGAGATTGGCAAGGGGTCTGCTTGAGGACATGCTTCTTGGCCCTCTCCCCTTTTGAGGTGTGAAGTTCCTGTACGCCTGAGGATCCAGCACCTAACACAAGAGTGACCACCAGAGGGAATGTGTGACAGATTGTGAGTGAAGTGACCCAACCTCCAGACTACATAACAGGGCAGAGGAACCCAGTGGATGCTCTTTAGATGCAGAACCAACGCTGGTGTCCACAAGCTCAGGCACCATCTACCGGAGGGAAGCTGCCCCTAACTGAGTTACACTGGAAGTCATCAACAGAATGACAAGTATTCGCGTAATGAAAGCATATTAGAATGATTAATAGGAGTGTAATCAGAAGCTCTTTGGAAACAGTAAGGAACAATAGTGCTTGGGCAAACTCAGGCTAGGCTCAATAGCTGGATTTTCAATGCATCAGGCAGTGTGCAACATTGACAATTCACACCAACAATGGCCGGAGAAAATAGATATGATTTTACTGAACAATGAGCCTAACTAAGCAGGCAGATTTAGTTCTTTTCAAAACGGAAGGCGGGAACCACAGCTGAATAAGACAATGTGGCCACTCCGTTCCCAGCTGGCGACTTAGAGGAAAACAAGAATGAATCTCTCTTTCTCATGTTAACTTAGTAAAACCAGCTTTTATTCACAAAATTGATGGAGAATGGTAATGGGAGATACTGCTGCTGTAACCAGAGCTGTGCAGCTATGCCCTGTAAGAACTGCTCAGTGAACTCCATGGGGGTAGAAAGCAATGAATATCATTATTTTCCTTTCCAGTGAAACACGAAGAGACTGTATAGATGCCTCATTTGTAAGCATGACAGCTTTACAGCCATAAATGAATCTCTAATATGGCACAGAATTAAAATAACCAATCCCAGAGTCCTGACCTGCCAAAAAGAAAAATCACACAATCCCTCTCCCAGTGGGTCTTCTTTTTATTAAAAAGTCAAGGCATGGGAAAATTTGTTCAGACAGACAGACTTCAGACCAGAATCTGTCTGGAACTCCAGAGGAGGTAAGGCTATGGAATTTGGTAAAGACCAATTACCTGGCCTCTTTCCTGATCATCCTAACTTTTGATGGAGGAAAGATCCAGCTATTCACCCAGATCCTTCCTGAAGGAAAGACACCACAGGTGGTAAAAATTGGGCCCTGGAAGTCTAATATTGAAAATTATATCCCTCAAATGGCCTAAATCTGAAGGGTCCATTAAGGAGGTGCAATACCTCAGAAGTGAGAAATTTAAGACACTGAGAAAAGAAATTGAAGAAGCCACCAGATGCTGAAAAAAAGTCTATGTTTCTGCAGTGTGTAATTAATATTGCAAAAATGTCTATATTACAGCAATATACAGATTCAATGCAATCCCCATAAAATTCCAAAGGCATTCATCCTAGAATTAGAAGAAAAGCCTAAAAATCATGTAGAACCATAATAGATCATAACTAAGCAGAAAGACACTGCTGGAGGTGGCATGTGTACCTTTCCTCAACAGCAGCAGCACGGCACCGGCACAAAAGCGGACAGCGCAGAGCAACAAAACAAAACGGGACCCAGAAAGAAGCCCACATAGCTATGGCCACTTAATTTCTGACGGAGGCATCAAAAACATAAACTAGAAAAAGGCCTAATGAAGCTGTCAAAATTGGATACCCTGATAAACAAATGATGTTAGATTTTTTACTCTCACCCTTCCAGGAATCAATTTGAAGTACATCAAAGAGCTTAATTTCAAAACTAAAATTCTGAAACTTCTAGAGGAAAATATAAGAAAAAATACTGTAAGATATAGGCATAGGCAAGAACTTTCTGAATAGGACTCCAGGAGCACAGAAGTAACCCCAAGGTTGACAACTGGCATTACATGAAATTACAAAGTTTCTACACAGAAAGGAGACTATCAGAACAAATAGCCTACAGAACAAGAAAGAAATCTTTGTCAACTGTAATTCAAAGGGAGTTAATGCCTAGAATATGTATTTTTAAAATTGTATAAAGTTAACCCCCCCCAACGTAAAAAGTATAATATCCTTAGCCATTGAGAAGGTGCAAATTAAAACTAGCTCTTTGGGCATGAGTCACCTTTTGTGGATAAGTGTAACTACTATTCCTCATTAAAGAAGGCTCTCTTTACAGCAAGTGAAAGCCACCAAAGAAAAACACAACTGGACACAAGGCAGAGATCAATGGATCAAGGGGAGTCCAGCCCCAACAGTTACAGCTACATCACAGCTCTCGAATCTATGGCTCAGGGAATATCATGGAAGGGAGGGCAGAAAGGATGCAATAACCTCCCAGGAAGTCTACTGTGGAAAGTGTCTCCTAGAAATGACTGCATAAATAAGACCCCAACAATGACAACATCAACTGACATGTTAATGTAGAGAGGGGGAAACTTTGTGGGGTCATACGGAAGGGACCAGGCCCCTGCTTTAGCAGCCATGACTCAACATATGTACTTGCCTAACTTTGCCCTTCCTCCCAGTCACTAGATCAGATATCCTCCTCGTAGCAAGGAACCAATCAGAAGTTAGCTGGTAGGACCGTGTTTTCTGATTCTGGGTGTGCTCTACTATAAAAGTGCACATCAGTGACACACAGAGCATAGCAACCACCCTAGGAGGACCTATAGGCCATAACAATCATTGACCAATCAATACAAGACAGGTCACCCAAGCCTGGAAGCACACCAGTCCGGAGACTATTGCATACCTCTAGACACTCCCCTTGCTCTACCCAATATATTCCCTGCCTCGTGGCTTCTCGGGGTCTTTCTCCAAGTATCTGCCATTATGGATGAAGGGCCTGAGCTAATGGGGTTAGTTCGTTAAACAACAATAAAAGACTCTTTGCTTTAGTGTCGAAATGGGTCTCTTGGTGATTTTGGGGTTTCAGAATTTGGACACAACACTACCCGTAGACAAAGAACTATGGACAACTAATGACTGATGGGAAAAAGATAATTTGAGATCTCTTCCAGGGATGAACCTTCTTATTGGTTGCCCAATGCAGAGTTGTCAGACCTGAATCATATACACGCAAACAATAAAAACAGACTCAGTTACTTGTATTATATATGTTTGTGCATGCACATGTATATAATCAAAGAAGAAAGACTATCAACTTGAGAGTGGGGGTATATGGGAGGGATTGAAGGAAGGAGATAGAAGAGGTAACATGATTTTATTTCAATGAAAAACATTTTGAACAATAAAATAAAATTATAAGATAGAGTGAGAAAAATAAAAAAATAAAGTTATTTAAACTGCTTTGGAGTTCTATCTCACCCTGTGAAAAGGCTGTCAAGAAAACAAATGCCATCAAATGACATCAAATGCCGGTGAGGATGTGGGGGAAGGGACCTTTGTTGATTGCTGGTGGGAGCCCCTGTGAAATTGTCAGGAGGGCTCTTTAAAAACTAAAATATAGCTACCATATTATCCAGATATTGCTCTCTTGGACATGTACCCAAAATACTCCATATCCTGCTGCAAATATATTTGACAACCATATTTATTGCTGCTCTACTAACCACAGCAAACAAATCGAATCAGCTTTGGTATATATCAATAGATATGTAGATAATGAAAACATGGTACAAGAAACAATGGAATTTTATTTGGCCAAAAAGAAAAACAAAATTATGAAATTCGCAGGAAAATGGGAGGATCTGGAAACTATTATGTTAAGTGAGGTAAGCCAGACTCAGAGAGGTAAATACCACATGTTTCTCACACAGATGAATCCTAGCTTTTAATTTTCATGAATGTGTGTTTATGCGGCTGAGTTTGAATATAGGCCACGGAACTGGAAAGGGGACCCTGAAGGACGAAAGGGGCTTTAAGGAAGATGGAGGGAAAGTAGAGCAGGGGTGACACTAAGGAGACAACAGAAGGTCAAAGGGTGCTGGGGACAAAGGGCTGGGTAGGAGGAACAACGGAGGAAGGGCCAGCCAGAGTGTGTCTGAAGTGTCACAATGAAGCCTCTTACACTGTATGTGAATTTAAACAAAATTCTTTTAAAGAAAGACTCACTCAAATCAAGCCTGATGTCTGGCCTTGTGGGATCTCACAGGGAGGGGCACTTGGAGTACTCATTCTCCCCTGCCTTCACCCCCCACCCTCAGGCAGGATGCTTCTGTCTCAAGATCATTTGCATAATTAGCATGCGCAGCTATGGGCTGATTCACCAAGTTTTGAAGGAATTCTTCCAGCTGTGGTTTTATAATACAGTTGTCCCTTAGTGTCTTTGGGGGATTGAATCCCAGGATCCTACTTTGTGGGATAGATGTTTATCCTCAATTGTTCTCTATGTTGTCATTGTTATTATTTGACATTTGTTTAGTGTGTATGTATGCATGTGTGCATGTATTCGTGTGTGTGTGTGTGTGTGTGTGTGTGTGTGTGTGTGTGTGTGTGTGAGAGAGAGAGAGAGAGAGAGAGAGAGAGAGAGAGAGAGAGAGAGAGAGAATGCCATCGCACACATGTGGAGGGGGTCAAGGGGATTGAACTAAGGTTGTCACCTTTGGTCACCATCTCACCAGTTCTCTACATGTTTTTTGGAGACAGAGTCTCTGAACCTGGAGTTCTCTGATTCGCCTAGCTAGACTAGCTGGCCAGCAAGTCCCTGGGATCCTCCTGTGGTCAAACACACACAGGACGCCATGTGCATCCATTTTAATAGATGCTGGGAATCTGCACTTAGTTCCTCATGCTTGCACAGCAAGCACTTTACAGATGGAATCATCTTCCCGGTTGCTTTTATGCACTTGAAATAATTTCTATGTGCCCTATAATGTCTGATATAATGTAAATGTGGTGTGGACAACTCTTGCAAAGTATTGTTTAAGGAATAGTGGGAGAAGAGAAGTTTGTACAAGAGAGAGGGAGAGGGAGGAAATGGGAGGGAGGGAGGGAGGGAGGGAGGGAGAGCAGGGAGGGAGAGAGAGAGGGAGGGAGGGAGGGAGAATGTGTTTATTTGTGTACATGCCTGTGCAAGCATGTGGAGGCCAGAGGTCAATGTCAGGTATCTTTCTTGACCTCTCTCCATTTGTCTTTTTAATAAAGGTCTCTCTCTGAACCCAAAGTTCACTGATTCAGCAGGGCTGGCTGGTGAACAAAACCCTGAGATGTTTCTGTCTCTGCCTCCCCAGCATTGAGATCACAGGCATGTGCCACTCCTGTCTTTTTTTTGTGTGGTTGCAGAGGGTCCTCAGGCTTCTGTGGTACTTACTTTACCAGCTCAGCCATCTTCTGTGTCTGAAATAAGACTATTTTCTTCTGAACATTTGATTCAGTTGGTTGAGTCTGAGGTTATGGCCAGAACTTATTTTTAGTGTTCATACGGGTCATCTGGTAAGTGTTCTGCTTGTGTTTCCATAGGGTCACAATTCCAAGCCATGCAGGGCACGCCACCTCTGGTGCTATTCTCCAACTCCATTCTCTAGAATGAAGAGGAAGAAGCTTGGTTGTTAGAAGCTGCCATAAGGTGCCTGGCTACAGAAGCCCCAGCACACTCAGATTCTCAGCTGGGCAGAGCCTTGTCCAAGGAAGCTGCAACAGAACATGGCAGTGTTGACATTCAGACCCAGTTCCCACACTGTCCCCCAGAGCCCATGCTTATAGCTTGCTGAAAGCTCACTGCTCTGCTTTTCACTGGGTGGTTATATTCCTGGGGGTAGCTTCTGGAATCCGGCATTGCCTAGTCAGCCTCAGTTAGCCAGACTACACATCTTAGTCCTAATGAACACTGCCTTAAAGGAGAGGCACTTTATTATTTCCATTATTTTGTTGATTCTGTTTTTCTGAGATAGGATTTTGCTGTGTAGATTTGACTATCCTGGAACTCACTCTGTGGACCAGAGAGATCTGCCTGCCTCTGCCTCTCTGAGTGCTGGAATTAAAGGCCCGTGCCACCACCACCCATCTTATTTTTTTCCATTCTTAAGATAACATCAAAACAAATAATTGAGTCAGAAAACAGACTCTATCTAAAATCTTTGCCAAAGTTCAGATGCAGACCAGAAAAGTCCATTATCCTTAAACACAACAGCAAAAAACATCCACAACTGTAAGAGTCTGGTTTCAGGGCCAGGCAAGTGGGATAGGGACATGGAGGTCATGAGCCCATCCCAGGGCAGAATCCAGGAAAGAACTTCAAGGTTGGTCTTCCGCACTCTAATCCACTGCACGTGGGTCATCTGTGGCCTGGCCTTGCACCCCCAGATGCATGAGCCTCTTCCTGCCCAGCAAATCTGTGCTCGAGTCTCAGGAATCTTTGGTCACCAAGCAGGTCCTTATATACCCCTGTGTTTCATTTTGTGATTTTGTTGTTCCCGAGTTGCCCTGTAAACATTCCCATTGGAAAATTCCGATCTTGTCTCAGATGAAGTAAGAGGAAAAGCCATGTGTCCACACCCAGGCCGGCCTGGCCAAGGAGAGCAGAGGCCTCCGGGACTGGCTTTGTCAGTGTGACCGCAGTGTGGCTCTAGCTGGAACTCATCAGGAAACTGTGGGGGCTATGCAGTGAGGTGAACACTTGGTGTCAGAGACCCTGGGGACCTTGGTACATGATGACGTCAGCTGTTCTACAGAACCCAAACCTCTCTTCACCGCCAACATTTTTGTCCTTGCTGTGTGTTTGTAACCACAACACTTACCACTCATCTTCCTATCTGCCTCTGACTCCTCACTGCTCAGGCCCTCAGAGCCCAAGGCAACTCGTGTCAGCATCTGCAATGCCAAGGCAGAAAGAAACATACAATGAAAAGGAATGTGTTGTTTTTATAATAAATGGTGTGACACTGGGCTCTGAAATCTGTGACTTGTGACTGTTTTAAGTGCAGAAAATTCTGAGAACCATTTTTTCACAAAGTGTTGTTTGGGTCCAAGTTTGAGAAGGGGTGTTAATGTGATCCTACTGCCACCACCAGCAACATCTCCACCAGGTGGCGCTCACCTCTTGGTCGCAGTTCCTGCCATTAAAAATTTATACTGGAGATTGATGACTATCTTATATGTAATTCGAGAGTCTTCATCCAGTGGTTGATGGAAACAGAGGCAGACACCCACAGCTAAACATTGAATTGAACTCCTGGAACCCAGTTGCAGAGAGGGAGGAGTGATGACCAAAGGGGTCAAGACCAGGCTGGTGAAACTCACAGAATCAGCTGAACTGAACAAGGGGGAGCTCATGGACCCAAGATTGATGGCTGATATGGATATCAGTGGATGCCAGTGAGGAGGCCTCGGCAATCTATGGGGCCTCAGGTCTACTACCTGGCATAGGAATGGACTTTGGGAGCCCATTCCATGTGGAGGGATACTCTCGCAGCCTGAACATATCAGGAAGGGCCTAGGCCCTCACTGGATGATATGACAGACTTTAGAAATCCCCCATGGAGAGCCTCACCCTCCCTGGGGAGCGGAGGAGGATGGGGTAGGGGTTGGGGAGTTGGGGGAGCTGGGGAGGAGGGGAGGGAGAGGGAGCTAGAATTGACATGTGAAGCAAGATTGTTTCTTTTTTTTTTTTTTTTTTTTTTTTTGGTTTTACGAGACAGGGTTTCTCTGTATTGTTTTGGAGGCTGTTGGTCCAGCCTGGCCTAGAATTCACAGAGATCCGCCTGCCTCTGCCTCCCGAGTGCTGGGATTAAAGGCGTGTGCCACCACTGCCTGGCTGCAAGATTGTTTCCAATTTAAATTAAAAAAATTGTTACTTCAAAATTGCTCCAGAACAATAAAGATGCTGACTTCTTTTAGCCCAATTGTAGGTTCTGAACCTACCTTAGAGATTTGAATGCTGTTTCCCTGGGAACACAGGACCTGGTAAAGTGAGCCACCTTTGATACTTAAGTTTGTCCAGCCTGTTCAGGGACACAGTGCCATGTGTCCCACAAACAAACCCTGTTTCCTTAATTTGGGCACAGCTGGTGAGACAGTGACAAGGGTGAATGCTTGGAGAAACTTGCTCTGTTGGACATTCTGCCCTTGGTAGCAGGGCTGTTGTCAGCTTTTCTGTTGTGGCTGTGACTCTCTGCCACACTGACCTGGTCTCTGTGAACACGACCAAGTTGTGCTTAAGAGAGGAAATTTACAGGAAAGATTTTTCATCCGTGGGATTTGTGGGGGAAAAAAGTCTCAATGGAAATACTCCAGATGGGCAGTCCCATTTGAGCCAGGGGGAGAATTCTTGATTGATTCTTTATGTTTTTTCCCTCCCCTGTGACTGCTTAAGGGGTGTACTTACTCTTTGGGCTGGTACTGTTATCACAAATAATATGTTGCATCAAATCAATTTCCTTCAGTACAGTCTTCTGATGCTCTGCCACACTTGGCCCCAGGCGCTGTACAGGATAATGAGACAAATGCCCAGGTTGCTAATCTGGCCCATTGGCACATCTCCAGAATCATTGGGTCAACCCAGTTCTCACCAGCTTTGAGAACACCTGCAAGGAGCCATCTTCCCCACTTCCTCCCTTAATATGGCAGGCCTAGATCCTCCAGGACTGGAAATGCTTGTTTGCTCAAGGGTAGCAATAAATACATTTCCTATGAAGCCTACAGGGCAGATGATTCCAAAGTGCTACCCCAGAAGTAGGCCTGAAGTTTGGGTTTACCCTGGGGCAACACCTGACTCCTGGAGAGGCCACAAACTGGGACCACCTGGGCATCACCCAAGAACAGACCATCCAAGGGGAATGTACCTAACGTTTTCCAAAGAAAATTCCTAATGTTGCAGCCATTATAGAGAGGAGTATCTGATGTTCTGTAGCCTAAGTACACACCCATACCCTTTCACCAAGACACCACTACACAAATGTCAGCCAATTAGGGATTTGAATCCTGAAAATCCCACTCACCCCAAACCTCTACGATGACAAAAATCCTACTCCACCTGGGCTGGGCACTCTGCTCCCAACCGCTGCATCAGACAGACGGAGAGTCCAAGCTCGAGCTTGAAAAAAGGCTGTTTGACTTTATATATAAGAGTCAGTCTCCTCATTGATTTTGAGGGACTCCAAGATCTGTGCATAACAAGATCTTAGGGTACAGAAAGTAGGAAGGTGGGGTGGCCAGGTGCTTGCTTTACCGGGTACTGTGGCTTCAGTTTATAGGATTACTGTCATTATTCTGTACAGTGATGCTTCGCTCCCTATGGTTTTACTTTCCTTGGTGTAAGGTATGTGAAGTCAACAGTGCGCAGAAAATGTTAAATGAAAGAGACCAAAATTTTGCAGAATCTTTTAATGGTAATATGTATTGAGTGGGTCCTGTTTATTATTAGATATTATTGTTAGCCTTGTTCTTTTTCTGGTTTATAAGCTAAGTTCGATTGCAGGTGCCTATGACAGTAGACAACATAGCATGTGTAGGTTTAAAAATTTCCTGGTGTTTCAGAGGCAACTGGGGTCGTTTCCCCCCATGGATGAAGGAAGGTAACTGTATTACCACCACAGTTACCCATTACACTAACCTGATTGTGGGAGCACGTCCGGTCTGCTCTGTTTAACAGTATCAACATACAAAAGGGAGGTCTTCTGTACCTGAGCTTCTGGGGAGGACTTTACAGGTGACCAACCCAGGAGAATCCTTCTGTAACTTCCCCATCATTATTCCCTTTCACATAAGGGCTGCACTGCTCTGCTTTAAACAGTGTGTTCAGGTTACAAATGAATAGAGGAATGAACATGGGGATTGAGTCATGCACAGTTCTGGAGGAAGAAAGCCATGTAAAGACCTGCTGGGCATCAGGCCTGATATACCCTTGGGAAATACTCCTGTGTGCTTACCTCGGTCCCTAGTCTACTGGTGTGTGGGGCCATGCCTGGCTTCTCTGTAGGTGCTAGATCAGATCAGAAAGCAGGCTTTTACCCACCCAGTCATATCCTCAGACCCCTAACAATGTTTAATCATTTTTAAGGGAGGCCTTTGATTATTTTTTTGTTTCATTAACAGAATAAAATTATTCTATAATTAACATTTTGAATAGCCTTTGTAATCGTTTAATTTTTTAAACTGATTAATAAATCTCCCCAAAGACTTCAACATTTCCTGAAATGTGATTTTAAAAAAAATCTAGAAGTATGACACGTTTTCCTAAAATATCAATATAAAAATCCTATCCTAAATGTCCAAATATGTAACTATTGATGGCACCTTATAAAGTACACATTTGGCCTGACATCCCATCATCCTCTTCCAGCCTCCTTGCCCCCTCCCTAAATCCACTTAAACATAGCAAAAACAAGAAAAAGACTGACTACCCATACCACTTACTTCTTAACCTCGACACACACACACACACACACACACACACACACACACACACACAATCCTTCTTACACTTGATTCTGCATCTTTTCAAGATCTCAAATGTCTTAGTTTCTTTTCCCATAGCTGTGATACATACAATTCCCTGACAACAGCATCTTAAGAGAGAAAGGGTCTATTTCGGCTCACAGTTCAGGAGGAAGTCAAGGAGGCTGGTCACATGTCACATGTCACATGTCAGCCACAGTCAGAGAGCAGAGTGAGAGTGCATCGATCGTCACAGCGCCCCTCCTTCTCAACTCAGCACGCAGGTGCATCTCTTAAGCCATAACCTTCTGCCCATTGCACCCATAGACTCACGATCACTTATAATGCAAAACTTATTCAGTCCAACTTTAAAAGTCTCCAAACCTTTAATAATCCCAACACTCTAAAAATCCAAAGTCTCATTTTCCTTTTTTAAATTTAAATTAGAAACAAGCTTGTTTTACATGTCAATCCCAGTTCCCTCTCCCTCCCCTCCTCCCCTGCCCCCCACCAACCCCCTATCCCATGTCCTTTCTGCTCCCCAGGGA